CGATATTCTCTTAACTATACCCTACTATTGTACTCAGTCAGTATTGTACTAAGTCATTGTTACAAGATATTTGATATTTTTATTTTTTTCTTTTTCTCTGTTTTTTTTTATTATGGATCAATATGTAAGAGATTTTGATTTGCCCACTGTTGATACATACACTGTAAAAAACTTTAGTGAATGTGATGATATCTTACGGGTAAACCAATTTAACAACAACTTTACTCTACTTCATAATAATAGAAGTATTTCCAAAAACTTAGATGAACTTAAGCTACATATAACTGATATTACTACAAGTTTTGATGTAATTGTTTTAACTGAAACATGGAAAATTAATGATATTAATTTGTTTAACATACCAGGCTATAACGCAATATATAATAAGGGAGAATTAAATCAAAATGACGGAGTTGTGGCATACATACGGTGCAAATATCTTTTCACCTACGATATCGTAAAATTAGGACCAACCAATATTTTAAAAATTAAACTAACTGTTGATAATAGCTATACAATTATGGTTTTTGCGTTTTATCGATCACCCTCTAAGGAAAAACTATAATTCGAGTATTTCTGAATTTATTAATAATTTACAACATTTTTTACACAACAATGCTACCAATTCTGAAAGTTACTGTCTCTTTGTTGGAGATATTAACATTGACCTGTTGAATTTAAACGATGATACCATGGAATATACAAGTACTCTGAGTGAGTGCGGATTTACATCCATTATAAATAACCCAACTAGAATAACAGCTTGTTTAGATCATATATTTGTAAAATCAAAAACCAATTGCTTGGAGAATATTATTCCTCTAGTAATAGAAACTGACATAACAGATCACTTTGCAATAGCATTACAAATAGTTTTTAGCAAAAAAACAACTAAAAGACAAATGACTGTTATGCTAAACGAATCAACTACAAAAGGCTAATAGATATTATCTCTAAACAATCTTGGGACTTTATCCTAAAAAATAGTAGCCCGGATTTAGCAACAGATCAATTAATAACAGTTATCCAGCAAAATATCAACAAATGTACGTATTATGAAAAAAGAAAAAGGAAAAAACACAAAAATTACACCGTGGATTACAAAAGCTTTAGTAAAATCCGCTAGTGAAAAAGATAGAATGTATCGACTAACGAAGCTTCATCCGAATGACCATGATTTACTGCTAAAATATAAAGCATATAGAAATAAACTGCATTCGCTTATGAATAAAACAAAACGGAATTATTATAAAAATAAGATTTTAGAGAATTCAAATAGCAATAAACAATTGTGGAGTGTAGTGCAAGATCTTAGTGGTACTAAAAAAGGAAAAATGCCTATCGACAGTCTTAAAAACCAAATGGGAAAAATATTGACTCATCCCTCCGATATTGCAAATGAATTTAATAAGACGTTTTCGGAGATGGGCAAAATATTGGGCTGAACAAATCATTAGCAACTCCCGCCAGGTATATGATAATACCTCCTTGGCAAACTCAATGGTTTTACTACCTACAAATACATTTGAAATGAAAACAATAATAAATCAACTGAAAAGTAAAAAAGCAACTGGCATTGACGATATTAATTCAGAATGTCTGAAAACAATTTCACCATACATACTCGAACCATTGGTTCACATTTTCAATATATGTTTGGAAGAAGGAATATGGCCCAAAGCCTTCAAAACAGCAGTAGTCATACCAATATACAAAAGTGAAGACAAAATTCTTGCTTTAAACTACCGACCTATATCGCTTATTCCACACATGTCTAAAATATTTGAATTATTACTTAATAATAGACTTACAGCATACATCAAAAAGTATAATTTAATTTCTGCTAACCAATTTGGTTTTAAGCTAAATACTTCCACACAAGATGCCGTCTTGAATCTAACATCAAAAGTGTATGAAGCTCTCAACAATAATAAAGTTTGCTTATGTGTATTTCTAGATTTGGCCAAAGCTTTTGATACTGTCAGTCATAGTAAACTCTTACAAACCTTAGAGAAAGTTGGTATAAGAGGCAACTGTCTTCAACTATCAGAAGTTACCTATCTGAAAGGCAGCAGGTAGTAAGGGTTTCCGAAACAATAAGCGGACAAAGAGGTATAACGTATGGAGTGCCTCAGGAACAGTGTTAGGACCTGTCTTATTTAATCTATATATAAATGGTTTATTTTCATTGCAAAGTACAGGGCATATAATTGGGTTTGCTGATGACACGGCTATTGTTTATGAAGCTGATAACTGGTATGACTTAAAAATAAAAGCAGAAACTGATCTACAATTCATAAAAGACTGGTTTGATTATAAAATACTTACAATAAATTTTAAAAAAACTGTTTATTTACCAATTTCTAACTATACCCCGAATATTGATCTATTCGAACCTCTTCGAATAACACATAATCAACACAATTCTTGCATCAAACCAGTAACGAATGTTAAATATTTAGGTGTTATAATAGATACACACCTAAAATGGGATTGTCACATTAAATACGTTATTAAAAAGTTACAGTTTATCCTCTATAAATTTTAGCACCTAAAAAAACACATACCGGATATATACCTTCGCACACTATATTATGGATTAGTAGAAAGTCATCTCCGTTATGGTATACTGGCTTGGGGAAGCGCCCTAAAAACTCACATTCTCCCACTAGAAATCATGCAAAGAAGATTTCTGAGGATAATTATGGCTAAACCCTACACTTGTTCTACAGATAGACTATATAAGGAGAGCAAAATATTTGACTTAAAGCAGTTATACTTTCTTTGTATATCTGTAAAATTTCACACCATGAAAGTTAAAAGCAACTTACCTTCACAGGGATATGATACTAGAGGCAAGCACCTCTATATGGCTCCAAAAATGACGAAATCTTTCTGTCAACGATCTTTCTTATTTTTAGCCCCTAAAATATACAATCATATTCCCCCTGATATTAAAAATACGAAGAATGTCTTTCTCTTTAAAAATAAATTAAGATTATATCTCATGGAACAGACAAGACATTTTTGTAATATCATTATAGTAGCGTAAGTTATAAAGCCATATTCACTTAAACTTTCTTAAAGAAAAAACTTTAATTTTAAATCTACTTCTTTCAAAGATAATTAAAAAAAAAAAAAAAAAAAATATATATATGTGTATATATGTATATATATGTGTATGTGTGTGTATATATGTGTATATATATGTGTATATATGTGTATATATATGTGTATATATGTGTATATATGTGTATATGTGTGTATATGTGTATATATGTGTATATATGTGTATATGTATGTGTATGTGTATGTATGTGTATATGTGTATATATATAATATATCGTGGTGTTTGTATTGTTTTATTTAATGTGTTTATCATATTTATATTAAAGCATGTGTGTTTACACTTTTGTCCTTTCAAAAATCTTGTTAACTAATTGATTCATACATAAGTGCTGTATTCATATCAAGGGTTTCTACTAAAATTTTAATTATAGTTAGTTTATGATTCAAAAGCAGTATATATTATTGTATTGTATACATTGTATTGTTTATTTTATTTAGCATATTTACCAGAACATAATTTGTGTATTTGCAGATCTCGTTAATAACTTATTAGTATCTAAGTTTAATTTTATTATACATCTTTGTATTGTAATCATTCTGTATGTAATTCTGTATGTATCATTATTGTAATCTAAATTTTCAATCTGCTTGTTTTTTTTTTTTTTTTTTGTATATGTGTGTATGTATGTGTATGTATGTATATATGTGTGTATATATGTATGTATATGTGTATATATGTGTATATATGTGTGTATGCATGTGTGTATATATTTATACTTTAGTATATTATATTGTATTTTTATTTATTGTATGTTACATTTACCGAAACAGGTGTCCCCACACCTCTCGGAGACCTACGGGTTAATTTATTCACATATTGTTAATTATTGAAACAAATTTTGTATGATTGTTGAATAAATTATTATTATTATTAAATGTGAAGCTTGTAAATCCAACCTTATTTCGTTTAGCCATTTATTTGTCACGTTCCTTCTCTTGTGTTATCTTTTCTTTCAATGCAACATGTTTTCGCCCAGTTTCATCATTCCAATTTCCATTTACATGTTAAATACATAAATTACACTGATCTTTTTTAAACTGGTATAAGCTCAAGATATTCATTTTGAAATATTTCATTAATAGAAATCTCGCTAAAGCTTCAGTTTTGTTCTTATTGCACTCTGCTTCATAAACCTTAAAAACTTTCCATACGCAATGCGACCATTGATTAGGAAGTTTGTCAAAATATTCGTTCAGAAATTTTTTGTAAACTCAAACAGTCTGACTGTGGTTTTTATCCATTCTGGACTTATTTAAGTATTCAGTTTTAAGATGCATTGCGTACTTCGATTCTTTTACCCAAATTTCAACAGTAAAATTTCCTAAGGCAAGAGTATTTAAAAACATGGTCCAAAAAACATTGAGTGTCCTTCTGTCGTTGGCCTAGCTACACAATGCCTTTCGACGTGCGAATAAACATAAATTTTCATATAATCTTTTCTATCTATATAATCTAATATTTTCATCAAACGTATATTATATCAAAACATCTATATCAAACCATAATTCGCCCCCACAATAACGTATGGAAGCGATACATGAACGCTGAACCAGCTTGAAGAAACAAAATTACTGGTATTGGAACGAAAGATACTATAGACATTGGGAATGGAAAAGAAGACATAATCAGGAATTTTAATTTATTATAATAACTAATTTTAATTTTTACCTAATTTTTAATTGGTATTAATAATCAAAAGTGCTGGTAAAAAGTTTTGAGGCATCCTGTATACAAACATTTATAAAAAATTAACTTTTTGTAGTATTCCAAACAGGTATCATTATTACCAACCATGACAAGTACTGTCGGACCGTGATTATCGGTTACACTTGACCAAATTGTGTCACGTAACAGTTAAATTTCTACTTACCTAAATTTGTTAGATCATTAGCATTTTTATCCTCTCGCATATCTTTTTCAACGGAAACTAATTTGTTACCCTTGAATTGTTGAAGTTGCATAAGGACTAGTTCATCATAAGGTTCATAGCAAAACAACACTTCTTGTTTTCTACTTTTCAGAGATTCGTAGTAAGGAGAGTTTTCAGCTAATGTTCGGCTAAAACATATAATAGATAGTTTATTGTCATCGATAGATAAATACCAAAATAAAACAAAATCATAAAATTGTAAATTAACAAACTAATTTTATAAAATAATTTGTAAATGAACTGAAATGAAAAGTGACTTTAAAACTATTGAATAAGTTTTTTTATCTGGTATGTGTTTTTTCTATCTTTTATATCAGTTAATTTAAATAGTCAGAAAGACGCATATTCTATCGGGTGATGGTTGGGACTTTAGATACATTAAATTTAATTTCTTTCTTTCATTCACTAGCCTATGTAATTGTAGGTTTGATAACAGTTTTATAAATTATTATTTGTAAAATTATTTATACATATTTACATCTTATAATAAGACAGGGCTTATCCAAAGAAATTCGGAAATTCCTTTTATCTAAGACACAGAATAAATAACAATTGTTTATTATTCTGTGTCTAAGGTTATAAAAAGTACCCGCGGTCCAACTGAGAACATAAACACAAAACAATAACTCTGTTATTACTAAATGGCTAGCCTGGAGCTAAAGTGGTCTATGTCGCATATGTATGAAAATTGAGATTTTGTTATATTTGACTTTAAAAGCTAGTAATATATCAGTACTAAAGTGGTCTATGTTTAAATCTCAGTCAGGGTCCGTAAAATAACAATGTACCACTTTTACTCTTGGGGAAATTGAAATTTGTTAAAATTCGTAAGGGGTCTATGTAACACTATGCATCATAGACCTATTGATTTCTACCAAAGTAAAAATTCTAAATTCTAAAAAATGAAGCACATTAATCAACAATTATTAATAGAGCGGCAATACTGTGGCGCTAATGTCATTGGTACTCAAACCGGGAGGTTGCAGTTATTTAGTTAGTAGATCAGTTGTGTTAATGTGAAAAATGACTACGAATATTTCAATAAGGTCTCGTACACGCAGACTAGTGAAAGCTGCGAGACAATTTCATGACGAAACTGATTCAAAACCTTATCCCGGATCAAGTGAAGATGAGTACATACCTTCAAATAGTGATGGCAGCGATTCTGATGCAATAGATAGTAACACAAATACAAGTAAGTGCATGTTTAAATAAAATATTATAGTTTAGTAACCAATGAGGAGAGCAATTGATTTTGCGTGTGTAAAAACCACGTGCTGATGTTTTCACATTAATGTGTTGATGCGCACTGTTGCCATATTTTTTTATTTTTCAAAGACATTAATATATTAAAACAAAATAAGCTACATTTTTGTTAAATTTGTCTTCCGCTAATGGGTATTTTAAGAGTTATTTTAAAACCATTATAACAGTTTAATTAAAAGAAAGCTTTAACGCATCGCAACGTTACATAATGTTATTGTTTTAAGTAAACATACTGAATACCTCCTCTTGTTACAGATTCCGATATTGGACATGAACCTGTGTTGTTGAATCAAAACATGGAAAATCTTGGGGAAATTCAAGATCCGGACGAAACTGAAGTAAGAAAGGGAAGAAAGAAAATGAAACAAAAGGCTTTATAGGGGATATTTCCCGTCAGAAAGAGATGTAGAGCTTTAGGAGAGAAATACACTAGTATAAAAGGGAAAGTTATGCCCGCTAAAACGATTTTTTACATTGAATGTAATTGTCGTCTAAAATGCAGTAATAGAGTGCCAGAGAATGTCCAGAGAGAAGTACATGACAGATTTTACAAACTACAGGATTGGAACGCTCAAACTAGCTGGTTGTGTGGTACAGTTAGAACTAAAGCACCTAAACGTACCAGAAAAAATACACCCAGAATCTGAGTCGTAAACAATATTCACGGATATTTCAATTAAATGGACAGAACGTGTGTAAAAATATTTTTTAAAAAGTATTACAAATAAGTAATCATCGATTAGATTATGCACTAATGTATGCTTTTTACTAAGAGTAAAAAAAGCCGAAATAGTGATATCCCTTCCCCGATCGAAGAGGAAGAAAAATTCCTGGAAATATAATAAACGTGGAGAAAGTGGATTCGTGATCACATTAATAGTTTTTCTAAATTTATGAGCCACTATGGAGAAAGAACCTCAAAGCGTCAATATTTAGCACCCTCTTTAAATATTTACAAAATGTATGAACTGTTTAAATGTAAATTAATTATTGAAGGAAAACCAGTCCTTAAAAAAAGTATCTATGAAAAAATCGTTAGAACCGAATTTAATATTCATTTCTATATACCTAAAAAAGATACTTGCAAATTTTGCGATGCATTTCAAATAAGTTTAAATGCCGAAAGTAATAAAGAAAAATCAGAAGAAGTAAAAATAGAAAGGGACCAGCATATTGCTCTGGCTCAAAAAGCTAGGAAACTTCTGAAAGTTTACAAAAACGAGTGTGTGAAGCCGGACAGTACAGTTGTATTAATTACATTTGATTTGGAAAGAACACTTCCCTTACCTCACATAAATACTGGTGAGGTGTATTACTTAAGGCAGATGCATATGTTAAACTTAGGAATTCATAGTTATGAAAATGATGGAGAAAACGTTTTTATGAACATGTGGTATGAGACCAAAGGGGCTAGAGGTTCTCAAAAAGTTAGAACAAAATCGGAACTCGAATCTGTTAAATTTTCTTATGTACATGGTTAACGTTTTACCGAACATTCAAGATATCTATGTAAATTATCTGGTTACCAGTTACACATATTTACCAAACGATGTCGATTTTTCATTTATTATTAGGGCACAGAATTTAACCCCAGTGTACACTCCTGAAGCATGGATGGAATTAATTTCAAATTGTCGAAAGCGCCACCCATTTCGTGTAAAAAACATGGTGGATAAGTTTGTGTCATTCGAAAAGTTGAAGATTTTTAAGTCACCTCATGCCCCACGGAGTTCTGGCGTCATGATTTCTCAAATACGCAGAATTAAGTTCTCCAAAGATACATGGGTAATATTTACATACATAATGTAAAAGATGATATGGACACGTCCAAAGAATGGATGAACACAGAATACCAAAGAAAGTATTGAACTGGACACCGCATGGAAGAAGAAAGCAAGGTAGACCCAGATTAAGTTGGAGAGAAGGAATCGATAAAGACTTAAGGGAGAAGGGAGTTGAAGAAAACCTCTGGAACGACCGAGATAAACTGGAGATGGAGACTGGAAATCAGAAGACGGCGTAGAACGTTATAAACTGATATACATAAATATATATATATATATATATATATATATATATATATATATATATATATATATATATATATATATATATATATATATATAATAAAACAAAAGATATAAAAAATGCTACAATTTATACCTCCTGTGCATCATCCATTTTATCTTTCTTTACCCCATTACAATCGCAGAGGTGATAGGGAGGATAATGAAGACATACCTACTACCACCATTTCGAGGTGAAGATTTGGATGAATAAGTTTACTTAACTATTTTTAAATTCTAGAATGGTCTATGTTACATTTTTAAACAAAAAAAAATTAACAAAATAAAGTTCAGTTATCAGTAAGGATTTTTTCTATGTTTGTAAGATTTTTGGTAACCTTAATAAAACTTTTTTGTACACAAATTTTGGTTTTAGTTCCTGTACTGTCCCTTCGCTTTATAAATTAAAATGTATTTTGTTAATTTTCTCGAAAAAGTGGTTTTGTTACTTAGACCACTTTAGTTCCAGGATAGCCCAAATTAAAACTATCAAAAATGACAAATCGAAATAAACGAGTATGTACCATAGATAAAATTTTATGGTAGTGTGCTATGGTATGTACTTGTCAATATGTAATTATAGAGGAACAGAAAATATTCAATTCAGAAAATAAATCTAAATTTAAAAGTCTTGGATTATAATGATTGGACGATGATAAAGATTATGATAAAACATGTCTGATTTGAAATTCAAAATATTAATACAGGTTCTATTTTTCGATTTACAACTAAACAAGAAAGTAAAAATCTGCAAAGGTTATATTTTATACACATTACACATATAAAATATGATGTAATAAATCTGCCGGACCATATTAATTGATAATATAATTACTAACATAGTCAAGTTCGAATTACATGGTCAAGGTATTTAAAATTAGTGCAATTTTACGTCATTGACCAAGTCACGCTTATTTTATTTATTCAAAAACGAAATCACCGAGGTTACTGATATAATGCTTGTTCCTTGAAATAATACTCTTATGAAGCAGTATGCCTGTTCTGAATTACCCATTTAAATAAAAACGATAGAGAAAACTATACACATTTGAATTTGACATAAAAAAGACAATTACCTTGGAGCTGCTAAATAATAAATAGTCCTATTATCTGTAGCTCTTGCCAGGTAATCATTTAAAGTTACTTTTTTGTTGGGAGCTTCATGCGATGATTCGAATAATAATAAATTTGCAGCACTTTCCTAGAACAAAAAAAATCAAATCTACAAAAAATACTATTTCTGTGAATACAGAACTGACTGTATATGTAACTATATTAAAGGCCACTTTTGTCAATATATTTGTAAATGTTTGGTTATATTATTTTCAAATCAAAATAAAACCGCCAAACTAAAGTAAAAATTTTATAATTGCTAAAAGTGTCTCTACAGAGCTTGTCTTGTTGATCTTTTTTTATTAACGTAGTTGATGATTATATCTCTATTTCTGAACTGAAGTGAATCTCTTCTATTAGATCTGAAAATGTCTTTAACACAAAGTAGTCAATTCCTAACCTCACAAAGTGTCTCCTCAATTCAAATGTCTCAGGATATCAAGACTCGGATACGAATGTTTAAGACGACACTACAAGAAATTGGAATACAATTGTCTTTCGGCGACGAGCCCCACATTCTTACACAAGAACAGTCACTCGTTGTAAGAGATTTAGAAAAGTATTTGGAACAATCCAAGGATGTATTTCAGAGCTTTATGACTGGTTTAAAGATTTTATGCAAAAAGGAAAAGTACTTTAAGAAAGCTCTAGCCTTAACTTATTTAAGAAAAAGTAATGATGAGACTATTAGCACAAGTGCAAAACAAAGGACTGAACAAGAGAGTTTATTTAGGTAAGATTGATGTGAACTGTAACATACTTAGTAATAATAGTTTGTTTAGTCCTATATATTGAAGAAAGATTATGATGTATGTTTTATTCTCCCTTCCAAGGAATTTACATTCTCCTTCATGAACTAATGTTTTCAGGTTCTTTATCATCCCAAAGTACTATTTCTGATATTATTTGTAAATTGGTTTGAACTGATTATGTTTAAACAGACGGATTTTTGTTTATGTCAAAAGCTTGACTAACACCATCATTTAAGTGTCTATAAAGACTTAATATAAATATATTTTGGTAGATCTTTGTCTATCTTAACACATATTTTAATGTCATAGGTCAATAATAAAAGCATTGTGAATTTTTTTAATACATATATTTTAAAGATGTCTTAAGACTATCCAGTATTTTTGATATAATAAGTTAAGAACTAAAATTTTAATATATTATTAAATCAATAAATATGAATTAATAAAAAATCCTTATTTTCAGAATTTTTCTTAAAGTCAGATGTCTGCAATCAGAAGTAACTGAAGTACTTCTTGATGAAATAACTTCAATATCGTGTGAATCAACCGAGGATACATCATGGCTACATTCTCTTTTAAATTCATTTCGATATTTACCTTACATGAAAGACCCAGAAAACATTACCACCAAGCTAATAGACATTCTTGAAGTTGCTACTTATCCTGCTCAATTAGAAATCTTAGATACAATACCTGAAATTATACCTGACAGCCAATTTAGTGAAACTACAAAGCAATTGTGTAAGCTACTTGATGAAAAAGATGAGTTGACAGGAGCTATAATAGATTGTTTAAATGCACTGGACTTGGATGCTGATATGAGAACTGAAGTTCAGGACAGAATACTGGAGAGAATGAGTGGTGGCACCTCTTTAAAAGATTTCCCCATTCTATTGTCAGTAAGTACAATTTTCTATATTAATTCATAATATCTACAAAAGATTAGGTGTAAAGAAAAGTATTGCAATAATACTCGTACTGCTAACAACAATATCAAATTTTTGTTTCAAGAATTTTAAATTGTGATAATATTTTATACTTAATTTTATTTATTAAGGATAATATATTATTTGCTTGTTGAGAGATGGTATACAAAAATGTTACACAGGCTTGTAAATATTAATTAGCCAAGTAAAATTTTTTACAATGATTCAAAAACGTATATCCACCAATTCCTTGGAATTAGTAGTTGAATGGGCTTATGAAGCTATCACACACATGGACTGTTTTCTTTACTGGTGCTAAAAAAGTGATACCACAAAGCTTACTGCTTTTTTTCCAGATAATAATAATGCTCCTTAAGTACTAAACTATTTTTATACACAGATAAAAATATTATAATATACTGGTGGTTAATTTTCAACAAGCTTACACTTCTGGCTAACACATTTTAGTATTTATGAGTGTTATCCCTTGTCAAGGATGAATTTTTCAACAGTACTATATTTTTTGGCATTAGGTGTTAAGAATGTTATGATATTAAACAAGTTATCCAGGATATAGCATACATTTGGAACTTATCAGTTTGTGTAGGAGAAAACTATGATAATATATCAGCAGCAGAGCCTGTTGTTATCAAATTCATTTAGAATCTTCTAAATAAAGGTTCAACCTTGACATGGTCTGATAAAACATTAGCCTGGATATAACAGACTGTTCAAAATCATACCTGTTATGAGCCAAATCAAGGATTAGCTACTTATGGTTCCGAAAAAAGAATTTCACAAAAGTGTGAAGACACTTTTGTTGGTATAATCTGTTCATCTACTTATTCACAACAGAAAAACCAAAAAACCATGTAAGTGGTGCTTCAGAAACTTTGAGCTGAGTGGTTATGTTTCATTTTAAATGTTCCAAAATATATATTTACATGGTTTGTAAAAATGAAATACAACGTGAATTCTGATAAATTTTTTTTATTCTTCCTGATTAAATTGACTACCATTTTAATTTATTTAGTTGTGTTCAATTTTTAATTTAAAACTAGTTATGAAAAATATAATTAATTCTCTTTTTTTAGTTTTTGATGTCAGACTGCAAATCACAAAATTCTGTCCCAGTTCTTTTAAAAATTCGCAACGCATTGGACTCAATCATGCTGACACCAGAAAAGAGCAAAGATAAAGAATCTTCTAAAATATTAATTTTCAACAAGCTTCAATCTTTCACGCTTTCATCAAAAGCTGCATCTGAAGCTTGGTTAAATATGATTTCAAGTATCAAGTCATCATCTGATCATAAGCCAATAGATTACTTGATAATGTTCATGCTCTACAATGTAGCACCATTCAAGAAGAGAATAATAGAAGCCATTTTTAGAAAACGTGTTCATTCTGGATTATTTAAAATTAACAATTTGGAAAAAATGTTTGACAAATATTTACCACAACAATTATTAAAAGATTATTTAACATCTATTGTAGAAATAGGTAAGTCAATTTCATTTTAATCATTTGTTTTTTAACAAAAACTCGCTATGAAACAAAAATTGTTCTTTAATGATTACTAACTGTTATTTTTTTTTGTATTTATTACATTATGAAGTCTGATTTTAGTTTTGATTAGGAACAATTCACAGGTGATATTTGATTGCTGATCTATTAAGTAATGTTAAGGATTAAGTTCATGAAATTCTGTTTGATTGTTCATCATTGACTTTATTCCTGTGCAAGGTTGGCTTTCCTAATTCCATTTGCCTATAAGTTGCGATCTTAGATCATAGCAATGTGTCCCAATCTCCTTCAGAGAGATGTTCTGCTTAAGTGTCCGTGAATTTTTTTCTATGTGTTCCAGGGACTTCATACTATAGTTCTTCATAATCAGCGATTCACATTTCAGTGTTGACAGCATTACCAATCGTAACCTATGTTCTCATATTAGCGTCAATTGGTGGTTTCCTAATAAATTTATTTTAAATTCTATCATTTTTGACACCCCATATTCCACAATCTAAGCATTCTCATTTCTCCATGAATTTGTTTATTTCTTCAATAAATTTCTTTTTAATTGCCTAACAGTAATATTATATTTCAGGTTCCCATTTAGCACGAAGTTCTGGAGATCAAATAATAAAAGAATTTTGTTTAACATTATTCAACTTACTCTTCAATCATGAATACACTGAGTCAATATATAGACGAGAGATACTAAACAGTTTGATAGTACTAACAGGAGCTAGTGATAAAAAAACAGTTAGTACTGTGCTTAGTATTATTTCATCTTTAACTGATAAAAAGGAAAAATTACAGCAACATATCATGATATTAATGAGACTTCTGGAAAAACTTGATTCTCTTGACCCAATTGATGTCAAGATTGTGTTTGAAATATTGTGTGGTTTAACTTGTGGACCTGATGTTGATAGTTCCATGTCAGGAGCACAAAACGAGATCCATATCATAATTAGAAAGCAGTTATGTAGTACGAAAAAATCAATAAAATACAGGTAATAAAGCAATCATAAAATAAATTTTAAAGTTTTGGCTCATTTTTCGTTGTTATGGTGACTTTAAACAAATTAGAGTAGCTAAGTTATTTCTAAAAATTTTGATTTTAATCATATCAGAAACATCACATTCATTTACTCGCACTGCCTATGCCTAAAATGTTATTTTTAACAAACTTTTTCTAAAAGTTATTCAATTTTCATTAGAAAATAAGCTTGTTGCAACAAAAAGTATTATTAAAATAACACAAACCAACTTCTTTGCTATTAAATACCAGTAATATCCCATGTCTCACATATCAAAGGTACCCCAAGAACTAATCTCTTTTAATTTGATATATTATAAATTGTCATAATGTACAGTACATTACAATAATGTATATACATCTGTAATGTAATCTGTATACATATAGTGAGTTTTAAGTATGGAACATCTTAAGTAAGTACCTATCTTAGAAACGGCTTGTACGATTTTTATAGATTTTGGTATGTAAGGCTCTTCTGAAGATATGCCGATATTATGATGGCATTTACATTGTTGTCAGATTTTCCGTTTTTATGGAAATCTAATCTAACCTCTCTTATTTCAAATGGACCATCCTGTATATATTTTTTCTTTTGAAGCCCTTAAGAAATACTGATTATTTTTCATGAAATGTTCTGTATATATAAATGCCATAATTTTAGAGTTATTGCTACATTATCTTCGCTGACTAATAGGTTGAGTTTACTGAAAGTACAAGCTGAATTTAGCCGCAAATGTCAACCATGATATAAAATATTTCGGTTTGGCAGTGTAGATACAATCATAAAATCAGCCGCATCACAAGAGTCTTGTGAAATACTCAAAAGACTTACAGCCGAAAAGTTTCTGACTGTTTTATTAATTATTCCTTTAATCAGGGGACTCCAACATAGCTTAAAGCATATAACTGCAACAACACCGAATGGGATTCAATTAAAAAACTCTCTTTTAGAAACCATAGGTTGAAGACTTGCACCTTTTGAGACAAACAAAAAGAAAATGCTAAAAATGCAGCAGTGTCGTTAACTGACGAAGTGAAAAGAATGCTAAATATAAAAAATGCTAATAAAGAAAATAACGTTGAACCTCAAACACAATATACCTCAAGTTCGATTACAGTTTCTGATCCCAGTAAAAATTTATGGGCATATTTTGATAGCAAAATGTCTCGTACTAAATCCATAGGGACACCGTCAGCCACTGCATTAATTATTGTAAAACAATATTTACAAATACCTATGGTAGATAGGACGAAATGTCCCTTTCTGTTTTGGACTGAGTACAGAGGTATGTTTCCAGAATTATATGAACTGACACAAAAATATTTATCTGTTTCTGGAATCTCGGTTCCACCTGAAAGAGTCTGCTCGAAGGGAGGACAATTAACGAATGATCGTCGAAACCGACTACAGTGGAATCTCGATAATCCGTCAGGACACCGAACCAAGGGTGTGACAGATAATCGAAAAGATGGTTAACAGAACATTAAAAAAAATTCATAGTATAACTCTCAAATTTTATTTGTATGTTTTATTTGAGGATATAAGTGGGATTTATGATAGTGCAGTCGAATCAATTTGATTTAAAATATTCCGAAATCTTTGTTTGTTTTATTGTAACTTCACATTTTGTAATGGCTGAATTTCTTGATCAACATAAAATCATCAAATCTACCATATTTGCTTTTTCTTGCCGAGAATACCACTCGATAAATTGTTGTATGTGCGATGCAGCTTCTCTAGCTTCTTTATGCAAATCTTTGTGAATTGCAATAGCATCATCAACATCGAAACCGTTAAAGTCTGTGTCAGCTTCTGAATCAGTTTCGTCCGCCTTTGTTGCCATTTCAACGATTTCATCATCTGTCAGCAATCGATAGCCGTTTGCGTCCTCATCACAAATTAACCATTCGTTTATGTCATTTTTAGGCAACGAAAACACAACAGTTGATTCAGACTGGAGTTGATTCAATGCATAATTTATTTCACGCTCTTTTCAGCGTTATTTCCGAAACATTAGCCCAAGCATACACAGCATTGTCGACTACGTGTTTTAAATTGTATGCTTTCCAGTATTCTGGCAAATAATATTAATCTAACATAACTAGGTTTTGAATAAATTTTTTCCTGCATTTTCTTTTGAATGTTTCAATGGCCGATTGATCCATTGGCTGTACCAATGATGTTGTATTCGCAGGCAGTAAAGAGTACGTGATATTTCCATCGTCACTTCGCAACATACCGGCTTCAGGATGGGCAGGTCCATTGTCCAAAATGAAAATTGCCTTTGGTATAAAATTTTTTGCTTACAAGTATTGTCGAACGTCCGGTATAAAAAACTAAAAACAATCCATGCATTATGTTGTGCGTAGTAGTTAACGGAAAGCGCGTTTATATTTATGACCTTGAAACAACGTTTTTTTTTGCTGTATCTAATTTCGTTGGCAATGCTTTGTAGTGTAAACCAGTTTCATCCGCATTGAACAATTGATCTCGTGTCAAACCATATTGTCAACGACTTCAATATTTGCGGCGCTCAATTTTTCAACTTCGATTTTTAGTTCCCATTTACCGTTGCCATTTTTGAACTTTTCCAACAAACCACATGAAACACAACGCATAGAAATATTAGTTCTTAGCGGATGCGGGGGTAAAAAAAGAACACAGAACGAGGTATGCAATTTATTCAACGCAAAATATCCAGGCAGACCCATCAGCCAATCAACAGTAAGTAAAATAGTCCGAAAATTTGGAAAAACTGGACATGTTAAAACATATTCCAAACGCTGGGCGTCCTAAAATTGAAGACAATGTTAAACTTGATATTTTATTAAATGTACATGACAATCCTGACACTAGTTCAACACAAATGGGTGAATATGTTGAAGTTTACCAACGATCGGTATTACGTATTTAAAAAAGAGAAAAATACCATCCCTACAAAATTCAACTTTTTCACAACACAATTTTCTGAAATTATGCAGGATTTATGTATCCGCAATCCATATTTCATCAATCAAATCCTTTTCCGATGAAGCCACATTTTTTATACATGGTACCGGGAATCGTAAAAATTGCAGATATTGGAGTCAAGAAAACCCACATTGGATGACTGAGTCACACACGCAATATCCTCAGAAAGTAAATGTATGGGCAGGGATCATTAATGACAGAATCATTGGCCCTTTTTTCTTTGAAGAAAATCTAACAGGAGACCGTTATTTAACTTTTTTGAGAAATCAACTTATACCTGTCCTTGCTACAACATGTATTCAAATATCAATAATCCAAATTTGCCTAGTGAAAATATCTGGTTTCAACAAGATGGAACCCCTTCGCATTACGCACGTGAAGGACGTCAATTTTTAAATCATTGCTTTCCCAGGAAGTGGATCGGAAGACGAGGTTTTATAGAGTGGCCAGCAATGTCGCCAGATCTAACACCTCTAGACTTTTTCCTGTGGGGTTACATAAAATCAAAAGTTTATGTCAATAGACCCCAAAACTTACAGGACTTGAAAGATAGAATTAGGTATGAAATGAGTCTAATTACTTCAGAACTCATCCGCAAAATAATTATTATGCATAATTTGGTTATTTTAAAATACATTATTAATTAAATCATTAGTTGTAATTTAGTTGAATTTAAATTAAAAACAATTGTTTTTGTACCCTTAAAAAATATTTTAGTTAAAAATGTAATGTCGTTAAATAGAGAGAAAATTCTCTTTAAATGAGGTGTCGCATTATACCGATTTCTATTTAAAAAAATTAACGATTACATCACTATATCTACACCGGTGATGTCATCCCTACTCCATGTACGTTATAACATGGGTATTTTATAACAAAAATCGACCTGTTTCGGGATTTCCATCAAAACTCGATGGTTCTCAAAAATAATGATAGTATTTCATAATTTAGCCGTTCACTGTATAAAAATCATGAAAGCCGTTTCCGAGATAATTGAGGCGTTATATACTTAAAACTCGTTCTGTGTGTATACATTACACGAAATTTCTTATCCTTTGGGAAACCAAAGTGTTCCCATTCCATCGATTGCTGCTTTGTGATTTATCAGTTTTACTATATTTGGGAAAGTTTTTTCCCAAATATAGTAATTTATCTGGTTATGAGCTCTGTTGAATGCTATTATGTAGCCTTGTTTAAAAGCATATATGTACAATTTAGTTTTTTTTTTAAACTGAAAACATTGCATTATAGCAGCAATAAAACAAAATTACTTCCACTATAAATCAAATTCATAAAAATTCCAGAAATTAAAACATACATAATTGCATTTTCTGCCTAAATATCCTGTAACTTTTGTTACAATTTGTTTAAAAAGTTAAAATAACGTAGTAAAGCGAATACCTAAAAAGCAGTATAGTTTAACTTAGATAAATTGTTTAATTACTTACTATATTTTTATTTTAAATCTTTAACCAAATTGAAACATGTTTTACTCTTTCAAGTAATAGTTATTTTGATTTTTCAAACCTTCTATTATGATTTTTTATAATTATTGGATTATTATTTTCAGGGGTATTATAGCCGCAGTGGTTATGGCAAGAAGTATAGCTCGTATTTCGAATGAAGATACTCGTGAGCTACCTAAAACTTCTATGAAGAGTCTTTCAAGCTTGCCTAAAGGTCCAGCACGGGAAGCAGGTGATTTGTTTGTTTTACTATTTTTATAAACATCTTTTAGGCATAAGATATAGCACACTACCCTGCTATATATAATCCCAAAGCCACGCTAGCTGTATAAAGCTGGATTTATAGCTTGACTGGCTGTAAACGTAGACGCACTGGAAAAAGATCAACATAGAATATTATGTACCTACTCTTATTTATAAATGAACGTAAACGCATGACGGAACCTAAGTGAAACGGACTGGAACGGAAGAGTTGATCAACTTTCATCTTTTACAGTGCGTTACTTGCGTCTGGCCAATCAAAAGGAAGGAATTTTGTGCTGTCAACCAAAGTGAACTCTCCGGCCCGCTCTCCATTTTGTAAAGTTGTTTATCAACATATTCGAATGTTGTTGCATATTTGTTACAATGGACGGTAAGTTACATAAATTATAAAATAATAATAAATAATAAGGAGATATAGTATAAGTTCAATATTTCAGATAAATATGAGTTGTTAATTAGCCTAATTCGGGGTTATCCACACATATACGATAAATCCAGTATATATTTTAGAGATCAGGAAATGAAACAAAATAGTTGGAAAAATTTTTTCGAAGAACTTCAAATGACCGGTATGACCACTGTAAATGTGTTTTTGCATTATACTTTTTCACTGGAAGATTATAAATTGACATAATATTTACAGTCCGTTTATTACGTCTCCAGTGCGTCTACGTCTACAGTCTGTCAAACTGTAAATCCAGCTTAAAGGGAGACTATTATTAGTAAGGTATTTTAAATTTATTTCATAATTGTTTTGCTTTCTAGGTAGCTTATTGGAACTTGCTAATACATGCAGCAGTGGATATCCCGATTTAATAGGTCTGTACTATGATCAGTTAGCATCAATGCTTATTTCAAAGTATCAGTTGGATAAGTTTTTCTTGGCGTGGTTGTATGAAACCATAACCGAAGAATTTAGAAAAACATACATATCAGAGTCTCTACCACAACCTATAAACGATTTGGAAATGACTTTTCAGTATACATTAAATAGGTAAGATTTTTTATCATTGAATGTGTGCGGTTATTATGTACAAAAATCATGACGGTGATAACAAAGGGTATTTTGCGTAGGTAAAATTCCTCACTCACAGTATTCAATTTTTTAATTTTTTTTTACGTTCTATGTGCTTAAAATATAAGGCTCAGCGCAATTTTAGCCCGCCACCTTACGAAAAAATCAGAGATATAGTTTTTGATCAAATACGTAAAAAAATGGACTTACAGCCACCACATTGGACTTCACCGCTTCTTCTTTCCCAATTCGAACACATACCCAATCTGGGGTCAGGGGAGGCTTTCTTGTACATCTACACAGGCCCCAACGCCACATAAGCATCTCTGCCAGCAAATTATTCATTGCAACAAATACGTATTTTCTACTTCTCACATGATGTACTTCTTTTGTACTTATATTTCTTGTAAATCACCCCCTACATCCCCAGAGGCTACTTCTACGGCCTCAACGCCACATAACTAGCCATCCAACTGTCTGCCATCTTTGATCTGAAATTCTCATATTTCCTCTACTGCAATCTCCAAAAAAAGTTATGAGGTCTTTAAAAAAATGCATTTTTAAGTTATGTACACTCAACCTACGGGTTTACAAAAACTAGTCAAGTTTTGTAAAAGCCTCAAATATGCGTGTGAATTTATAAAAAAAAGTAAACTGCCTACCAAAAAAAAAAAAAAATAAATAAACGAAAAAATGACGTTTTTGTGGAGGGTAGCGGACTAAAATTGCGCTGTCTTATTTTTTAATCACATGGAACGTAAAAAAAATGAAAAAAATTGAATTCTGGGAGTGAGGGCATTTATCATGAGGGAATTTTATCACGACAATACAATCTACAGTTTACCCTTGAAAAACCACATCTTTTGCACTCTTTACATATAGAAAAGACGTTGAAATGAAAGTAGACGATTGCATTACACGTGCAGAGCAATGGTGGATCTTCAATAAGCCCTTAAAAATTGATGTTTTTGCTGATGAAGAAATATGATAACTTTGTAATTTCTTATTGTACATCTTTCTACTTAGATGGACCAAAAACTGGTTAAAAATATATAAACACAGAAAAAAGAACTTTCTACGGCCAATAGAAACCAAGTTAGTATCTTTTTAATCATATTAAGAGTTAAAATATTTACTGACTCGAATCGTGAATACCTATATTCTATGATGGATTTGATAAGTACGCAATTTATATAATTTGAAATAAGTAGTAACCCTTTAAAGAAAATATTCTTGAGCGGACTCTGCAAAGAGTGAGTGGTGGGGGAAGAAGTTAGGAGCTCGCCAGGTCTTGAGATTGGAACTTTAAATCGGTACGCGCTGAAATATTACAATTACATTTTCGGACTTTGTCCGTTAAAAAAAAAAAAGTAGAGCGATATCACAGTACTTCGAGACGTATTTTTCATTAACGATGTCTCTCCTATGACTTTAAGGTATAAGATACCACTAATAAATTTTTCCGTGACATCATTTTTTCATTTTTAGGCTGGATTATATATAAAATTTATAATATTTTTGTTTAGGTCATCTGAAGTGGATTCACCAATGGGAATAAATATTGGTGAACTAACCTTGAAGAAGAATCCTGCTATTTTGGTTTTGGCTCCACGTTTCCGTTTGTTGAGATTACTTCATTACCGTCAACAAGACGGAAATCTTTCAACGATAGATGCTTTATTGGGATCTGCCGTAATCTTACCACGGTTCGACGATGTGGACTACTTCGATTCTGAACAAATAAAACAGGTGGCAGACTGTTTGTTTCACTGTGGTAATTGGTTTAGAGAACTGATCAGTGGATTTGTTACTCAAAAAGATAAGAAGTTACGGATGCGCGTTATACAAAGATTAGGGGTATGTACTGACTTAATTATTTTCCAATTTCTATTTTTATTTTATCTTTACTTCACAATATGTTAAAAAAAAATCCGTTCTTATGCGGAACATTTTTCAGTATATTGCGACTTTTTCTTTAACCCATTAACGGCCAAGCAATGAAAAATAATAATTTTTCCGAATTTTTTTATTGGAACTAGTAGTTAAAAATGCCTCAACTAAGATAGGTTTATGATTTTTTTAACAAAAAAATGAACAATATCATCTAAAAAATTATGGGTGCGAGCTTAATATTTTGTATGAAGCGATTCGAAACATTCGGGATGGAGATGAATATTATATTTTTTGCACAAATATATAGTGTGACTTTTGCATAACCTACATTTCTTTTGTGCACTTGTATCGGCCTTTTAATCAAATGACCAATATTGTCAAATCTGTTGGATGAATGACAATATACTGCAACTTATGGAATAAAGAAGAAAATCAAAAAATATCAAAATAATGTACAAAATATTCAGAGCCGAAAAAGAACCGAAATACGAAAGGCCAAAGAAAATTGGTTAAAAACACAGTGTGGAGAGATAGAGTTGTTGGAACAAAAACACGATAAATTTAATATACACAAAAAGGTAAAACAAGCAGCTGGTCTTCAAAAAACCAACACAGCTAGCAAACTGCAAGATCAACAGGGAACATCATCACAGATAAAAATCAAGAAACATGCATATGGGCCGAGTACATACAAGAAGTCTTTAATAGAGTCTATCGTCTATCCGTACAGAGGTAACTATCACCCTTACTGTTTAACATGTACTCTGAGGAAATGTTTCAAGAAGCAGTAAAATATGTTGAAGTCGGAATTCAAATTAACGGATTATAACGGAAATTAATTTATTTTAATGTAATATATTTTATTTTATTTTAATTTATTTTATATATTTGTTACGTTTACTACCCCTGGTAGTGTGTGGTGTATCGTTTCAGTCGGCGATAAGATAGCTATGCTTCTAATTTCTTTCGAACAATTTCTATGTTAATAAAAATTTCGCTCTTTCAGAATTTACTTGAAGTGGAAAGCAATCTTAGTAAATGCTTAGGTCAATCTCCTAATCACAAATTTCCTGCTAGTTACTTCGATCTACATCACGAAGCAAATAAAAATGTTATCACAAAAAGCGACATGAAAACAAAAAATCCCAAGAAAAAAGTTAAGACGTCCGCCACTGTTGAAGCAGATGATACAGTGAATTCGACTGTTGCCACACAAAGTAATAAGCGAAAAGCGTCTACATCGAAAATATCAAATACCGTAGAACATAAAATCCATTTTAGAGATTTGGACACTGACGCAGTATTATTACTTAAGGTAGGTTTCAATTATTATAATAATTTCTTAATTATAATTATTTTAATATATTTCTTCTTGAATTATTTTACTTTCGTTGATATAGTAAATTGCTCATTATGATGAAGTTTAAAATAGCAGCTACTACTATACTCAAGCAAAGAAAAATGAAATAAGTCATACGCATAATCACTTTAGTACAAGTAAGAGCGTAATACAAGTTTATCGCGTCGTTTAGCCACAGAATAATAAACAATCAGAACGCTCACTCTCAGATGCCGACTTTGAAGTTTTTTCAGCACGCGCGCCATGTTTTAGAAGGAAACACAGACTCGGATTGAGAATCACATTTGGTGAAATGGGTCTTTATCAACATTATATTTATGTTTAATTATATTCATCATCATCCTCCAGCCTCTATTTATCACGTCCACTGCTGGACATAGGCTTCCCTTAAACTCCTCCATTCCTCACGATTTTGTGCTCTTTGTTGCCAATTTTTAGTGATACGCCTGATGTCGTCGGCCCAACGTGTAGGTGGTCTTCCTCTACTGCGTTTGTCTGCTCTTGGCCTCCAATTTGTAATTTTGCTCGTCCATCGTGAATCGTGCATTCTCGCTACATGGCCTGCCCAGTTCCATTTTAGTTCCGCTATGCGTTCCACAACATCAGTAATACTCGTCCTTCTTCACAGATCTTCGTTTCTTATTCGGTCCCTCAACGTCACTCCCAGCATAGACCGTTCCATTCGTCTCTGTGCCACTCTCAGTTTCGAAGCCGTGGTCTTGGTTAAAGTCATAGTTTCCGCCCCATAGGTCATGACCGGTAATACGCATTGGTCAAACACTTTTCTTTTGAGGCTGATTGGTATGTTGGCCCTAAGTGTGTCTCGCAGTTTTCCAAAGGCTGCCCATGTTAAAGTAATTCGTCTTTGGATCTCACATGTTTGGTTATCCCTGCTGATTCTTATTTCATGACCCAAATAATTATATTATATAATATTTAATATATTATTAAATATATAATTAAATATAATTATATTATATTTAATTATAGTATATTTATGTTATTATATTTAACAATGTTAAAATAATTGTATAGTATGTCTATAATTTTCGTAAGTCAATTAAACCGGGTTAATTTTTCTATGCACACCACAAATTTTCATTAAACAACACTGGTTCCCTTTAAAACATGGCGGAACGTCTGCGCGAACGAGATGCGCGTGCTTAATAGTGGGCATTCTGATTGTTTATTATTCTGTGGTTTAGCTATCCCTATGACTTTTACCAAGAAGCGTGTCAGTAGCGGAGAATGTATTTTTTATTTAGCGTGTGGCATATAATAAAAACATAATTAAAAGCAATAGAAAACGTTAAGTGGAGTATTAAAAAAGAAACATTTAATATATCAATATAATCTAAAACATTTTCATTTTAGCATTCACGAATTCCATCTTTTTGGTTTCTGTTGATGATCTGTCATGATATTACCCTCCTTATCTCTTCACATTTTTTGTTTGAATTCTTATCTGCTTTTGTTTAGTTTCTGCTAAAATATTCTTGTCTCTTTTGGATTACTTAGTTCTTGAAGTTCTTTTTTCATATTTTCTGTCTTACTTCTGCGGTGAATTTTCTTTTATTATTTACGTAATTATATATATATTCCTCCCCTGCTTGTCGCGTTCTGTGCCCCTGTTGCATAAGTAAATATGCTTTGTTTTTCATTCTGTTATAATCTGACATTCATTCTGACCATCCATGCTTGGTAATTTTTCAGTTGCTTCTTTCATAATGTTTCTGCAGCTTATGTTTTCATGTTTTAATCTGTTTTCTAGTTTGATGTGTATATTTTGTTTATATTTTCTATTTTTGTTCGTATCTTTGAGTCTTCTACATTATATCGTTCATGTTTAGAAATATTTCCTTTTTGCATGTTTAAAATTCTGGCCCTTACCCTACTTTCGACCCAGTAGTGATCGAATCCGCATTTCCTCCTCTTCTGGTGCGGACGTTTATTATATTCGATTGGTGTCTTGATTCTACAATAACATGATCTATCATATTTATTGTAAATCCGTCTGTTGATTTCCAGGTGTATTTGTGTATATCTTTTCGAGTGAAGTTAAAATTATACAATCGATTCCAAAAAAACTACTCTGAAAAAAAAGGAGACATTTTTTAAATCAGAGCATCAAAAATAGTTTAAACTGGAATCATGTTTTCTTTATGCACTGCCGATGATCGAATTCAAAATTTCCGAGAATTCATGATTTCAGGTATTTTTAACCAGTTATGAGTGATTTTCGATGAGTAATTTAATTTTTTGTTTGCTAGATTTATAGCTGTATGTAACTTCTGTTAGTATTGTCCAACACGTTTAGTGACTAATAGCAGGACGAATTATAATAATAGTTATTTTAATTTTAATTGAAAATACGTTTAGTTTGATGTTTCAATTCCCAATTTGGAAATTCGTTTTTTCAAAAGATATTTTAAAAACGATTTCCGCAGTAGAAATCTAAACTTCAAACGTATTTTCGACTAAAATTATGATTAATTCCTATTAATATTGGTTGCTAAAGGTTGGTTATCATCATAGCTATCCGTACTTCATTTGCAGCCAGTCTAAGTGTCTACTGAGCTGCAATTATACCTGCTATTATACTCTTAGTCATATGGCATGGGTATTCCAGTTTTCTCACCTTAATTGTTTTAATGACTTCGCACTCTTTTTGTAATCGTCTCAGCACTTTGGTATTAGTAACTCTTTGAATACACGGTACTTTGAGCATCTATAGCACCACATCTCGAATGCTTCAAACTTATTTATTTGTTCTATCCACTGCTGGACATGGGTCTCCCTCAGCCTTTTCCATCTGTTTCTGTCTTGTGCGGCTTGCATCCAGTTATTGCTAACACTCTTCATGTCGTCAGTCCACTGTTGGTGGGCGTTCTCTGCTCCGTATTGCTTCTTGTCTCGACAATACGTTTTGTCCATGGGTTGTCTGATAATCTAGCGACGTGTCCTGCCCAATTCCATTTGAGCGACGAGATGTTTTCGATGGCGTCTGCTGTTTTTGTTCTACGACGTATTTTTTCGTTTGGTATTCGGTCCCTCAGAGAGACACCCAACATCTGGCGCTCCTTAGCCCTCTTTTTTTTTTGAGTGTTTGTTTCCATTCCATAAGTGAATACAGGTACCACGCATTGGTCAAAGATTTTCCTTTTGAGGCATATGTTTAGATCCGATTTAAATACGTAGTTTAATTGACCAAACGCTGTCCAGGCTAATCCTATGCGACGTGGGATCTACGATGTAGTCTGCACGATATCTATTCCATTAACAGCAACATTTCGATTTAGCCGATTTAGCACCAGATTAGTTATTGCGTCTTGTCATATATATAACACTATTATTGGATCATCCATATGATCGGCTATAAGGACGATGTCATCTGCAAATCTCAAAGGACTGAGCTTCTCTCCATTTATGTTGATGTCTCTTTGCCGTACTCCTCGCTGTATACAGAATTTATTTGTGTCTTGTTCAGATAATCTTACGCTAGCTGTGACATTTTGGTAGAATTATTTGATTATGTTAGTGTAGGCGATGGTCTATTCGGCATTGTGTCAATGCTTTTAACATTTTCTGATGGCTTGGTATCGAATGATTTCTCGTAGTCGACAAATATCAGTGCCAATGGTTTGTTTTATTCTGCACACTTCTCTACCAGCTTCTTTATCACTAGCAAGTGGTCATTAGTGCTGTATGCCGATCTAAATCCAGCCTGTTCTCTACACTAATGGAAGTCTAATTTAGCGTCCAGTCTTTTTTTGATATTTGTTTGTGAAAAGTTTATATATGTGTGAAAGCAAACTAATAGGACGGTAATTTTTTAGATCTGTTATGTCTCCTTGCTTGTGTAATAAAATAAAAGTAAATCTCATTCAGCATAGCTTCAAAATAATATTAATTTCAAGAATATGTCGCGACCTTAATAATTAAAAAAAAAATTGTTGGGGCTTTTACAAAGGGCAGGTAAATTATTTATTGTGAGTTATGTTTCGGTAATCATTATTTTGTATATGTGTTGATATTAAATACATTTTTAATAATTTGGTGTTATTTTTTCTTTCATTCAAACAATATGATAGTCCTTGACGAATCTATACTCATCTAAACTATACTTATTTCTAAAATTAACAACATTTAAGTTTTTATTACATTTTTCATTGTAATTTTTATTTATTTCAGTATCCTTTGTCTCTATCTGACGAGTCTAGCCCAACCCCTTCACAGGCAGCTACGCTACAGATAGAAGAGTTAAAATTTTTGTTGAAAGACTTGGTTTTAAAATTAACAATCACTACGCAGAGCAAAAACGCAGGGTTGTCCCATTTGAATGAAGTTATACCTCTTCATATTATAACGGATGTTGGATACGTGCTTCCCAATTTGGACTTACATCTCAGGGTAAGTAAGTCAAATAAACATTACTATTCTTTCTCAAAACCACTTATTCACTTCAGACGGGTCATAGTCAAAGGATAATTAAGATACGAATATTGTCTTCGTTTACGGAAGTAAAAGCAAGATCACAATGAAATAAATTGTATTTTACATAAGTTAACCCTCAAAACCTGACCTCCTTAAAACTTATTCAAAAATGTTTTTCGTTTCAACTTAATTATACAATAGGTTATTTTTTCCTTGTGTTTTATTATGGTTGAGAGAGTACTAAGAGGAATCTTAAATTCTTTTGCAACATCACTTTTCTTCTCAACTTCCTCTACTTTTGGAATTAACTTCTTCTTTTCAGTCAAACATTTATACTTTCTAGGGCTCTTGACTAACAAAATTTTAATCTGTATACCAACGAAAGAGTAAGAGTAACTAATAACTAAACAAACCAATGCGTGAGAACTGCGTGTCCAATATGTAGTCAAATTAATCATAACAAAAACAAAGGCGCGTTGATACAAATTTGAACTGTACTTACTACAATCTTTCCGCCTTTTTATCTCTGCAACTTTGAATTGTCGAGTGTTGGACGCCGATGAGTTCGAATTAACGCGTCATTTTGTTATATAGCAATGATTTTTTTCGTTCGAATTACCAAGTGCATAAAAATGTATTGATTTAGTTCGAAATATAAAGAGATTTTGTAGGAAACTCGTGATAACTTTGAATTATAGAGAGGTTCAAATTATCGCAGGTTTAAATTAACGCGAGTTGACTGTATACAGGGTGGTGAATCGGCAAACGGGCCATAGGAAACTCAATGGTAAATTCTAAATGGTTGAATTCCTGCTTCCCTAATTATTTTACACCAAAAGTCATGGGAAACTATTTGTAGGGCTTAAACGTATTCCAAAATTTTGCTAAAATATAATACATTTTTCTGTGAAAAAATGTGTATTACGTGTTGCGTTTTGTCATATTATTGTTTCTGATATTTGACAATATTTAAATCAATTATATTATATTTATCTATGATTTAAATGGCCAAAATTTTATGATTTATTGTTTAAAAAAAATTAAGTTGATTAAAAAATGTACTCAGTTGAGGAGAAAAAGCAATAATAAAAATGTTTTATTCATGTTTTATTATAACATTTGTTATAGTTTTATGTTTAGAAATAATCATATATTATTATTAGGAATAAAGATCACAGTAACAGTATATTGGAATTCATTGAATTGTTGTATAACTTAACATGGAATTAAATTTTAGTGAATTAGAATATCTTACGTTAAATAAAGATCCGGTAGTGACAGGAAAAGGTTCGCGCTATTGCCTGAATACAACGTTATGCGATTTTTCGTCACCTAAGTACATTTCATTATATTGATCGATTTGTAAACAATATTATTTATTGTTCACAAAGTAATAATGTTCAGTAGTAGTAGTATTTAGTAAAATTCATTGTTTATAAATTAATCATAAAATAAAAAAATTGACAATTCAAATTGTCAAACATCTGACATTAATATGATAAAACAAACACGTCCTAATATATATTCTTGCATTACGTGTGACCTAACTTTTAGGGGTGGTCTGAAAAATGTATCACATTTTTTCAAAATTTTGAAGTACAGTTGTTTCGTAGAACGGTTTTAACCTTTGTTTTTAATTCAGATTTTAGTCCTCTACAAATAGTTTTTTATGACTTTTGATCTAAAATAATTAGGGAAGCAGCAATTCAACAATTTAAAATTTCTCATTGAGTTTCCTATTGCCCGTTTGACGATTCACCACCCGGTATAGATTAGTTAGTATCGCTGACCCATTTATAATGTAGTAGCAACACGACCTGGGCTAACTTTATAAGTACAAAGTTATACAAAAAATTAAAAAGTACAATCCGTCTTTCTTTTGAACAAACGAACATGGAAAATTACTTATTTTCCAATCCCAGTTTTATTTTGTAAAAGATTTTGTCATAAAGGTAATATTATTTTTAGGTAATTGTTGATAAATTAAATAAACTTCTAGAAGAAACAGACGGCAGAACTGATCTAGCAGAAATGTTTTCACCAACAGCTATCAATTATAAAACATGTTTTGGTCTGATTTTGGAATCTTTGTTGTTGATATTTAGCTGGACAGGCTTCCAACATTCTAGTAATCTAGAGGTAAGTTAAATGGATTTAATATGTTGAATACTAATATTTAAACTTGACAAACGGTGCTGGTAGCAAGTGACTGCAATTTGTAGTGATGTGATCAGAGATGTTTTAGTCGAAAGCATCAACTAGCGTTTAGTCTAGGAGAATGATAAATCTAAACTAAATTTCAATAAGCGATGCTAGGTATGTTAATAACGATAAAATTGTATTTTAATTGTTAAACGAGTTTCAAAATGTATCTACTCGTTTCGATAAAAACAGTATATTATTAAGATCACTTTATCAATTTTTCTCTGTTCTCGATTATTAGTTTTTATTGCATAGTATATAAATTATTGTAATCCCTAAATACATAGATAGTGAAAAATAATCCTGTTAATTAAATTAATGAATGCTTTAAACCATTATGCAAGTAAGGATTGTCTAAGAATATTCAAAAACTAAACGATATAACCATCTCTATTTTGCTGCAAAAATTATACTCGACGTCGCGCGTCGTTCGGCAACTATTACAGGCTCGGACCAGATTTACTATTTTGGGATTGAAGCGTTGTATTTTGAAAGGATTTGTTAGTAATTTTTTTGTCGTTTTTATGCTTAAATGACAGTATTTATGTTAATGCTGTTAATTGTGAACTAGTAATAATTATTTGTTATGCTTTGAAAGTATTTTTACTTTTAAGCTGTATACGTTATTACTGTTGTCGAAAAGAAAAATGTCGTCCACTAATTCTTCTGATGAAGTAGTTGAAAATACATGGAGTCCTTCTGGAAAAAGAACTACAAAAAGTTCTCGTATCACTGAAGTAAAAGAAATAATTTTAAAGATGAACCAAAAGTATGTTTGGCATGATTTTGACAAAAATGCAATTAGAAGACAGGTTAAATTTTTATGAGAAACGAAATATCCACCGTGGATGGAGTTTTAAAGGAGCGACGAGAATATCTTCAATAGATAAGGACTTATACAGAGAGAAGCTCAAAAATTATTATCTAGATGAGACATGTTTCTAATTGGATAATTCATGGTATATAAAATCTAAAATATGCGTAGACACTACAGTCAAATAATCTAAACAAACTTTTTTGGATGGATTAACAACGGGATTAAAAAATATTTCAAGTAATTTATTACATTCTATATATTCCAAATCTCAAAACTTACAAATATTTTTTTTAGAAATGAATTTTTAGGAAAAGATAAAAGACTTATTATTATTTGCCACATTAGCAACGATTGGGTTTGTTCCAAATACCCTCTGGGCATTTGTGTCGAATAAGTCTGGTGATTACCATGAAGATACGGTCAGATCCAGAGACAGGCCAATCTTTTGAAAATTCATAGATGGTCCGTATTGTCGGATTTAACTAAAAACAATCAGGTTCTTTGTCCCGCATTTTTGCAAAATTAAAATATAAATTTCGTATTTTACCAGATAATACTTCTGGCCGAACGAAAAGATAATCCTAAATGCTGTTAGAGGTTTAATGTTTACATCTCCTGTATAGCGTATTGAATTTTAGTATAGATATACACTTATACAGTGAGCGCCAAAAGTCCTCTCCCTCGTCATATAGTGAACGAAATATCATATACAATAGTGAAATTTGGAAGGAGGAAATAAACGGACGTATGTTTCTCAACCAGTCATAACAGGTGACGTAATAGTAATAGATGACGTTACAGAGCTACTGTGACCGATAATTTTAAATGAAACCTTATGGCAAGTGATATCTCATTTGAAAGGTATTGAAATACCTATGCAATCATACTAATTTTTGGGTTTAAGTTGATTTTGATGAATAAATTAAATAAATACTAAAATTATAGTTTCGCTTTTAATTAGCAGATCCTAAAAAAAAATCAATTCTCAAGACCTCGAATATTTAGTTTGTTTATTTCCATGCAGCGAAACGTCCTTTTAACGAGTCTGGTTTAATAATATGGTCGACCAACAATTAATGATAACAAAACAAATTGACATAATTGCAAAAATGGTAGTGAAACCTACTTCTTCTACAGCCCAAGTTGTATCAAGCCAAGGTGTATACAGCCCATCAACTATCAGGTGATGATCCCGACCGAAGACTAGCATTTTGTGAAAATATGTCCAATCAAATTAATCAGCAGCCACCAGATTACATAAAAACAATTTGTTTTAGCGACGAAAGTACTTTTTCCCTCAATGGAAATGTTAACACACACAATGTGAGGTATCAGTGACACAAATCCTCACGGCTTTCGTGAAAAACATACTCAGTTTCCAGAAAAAGTAAATGTTTGGGCAGGTAGTTTGGGACACCACATAGTTGGTTATTTTTTCTCAATGCTAACTTAACCGGTGAATGGTGTCTGGAGATACTACAAAACTCTTGAAATTCTGGAAGATAATCCAGATGCACGTTTCAACAAGATGGTGCTCTTGCACACTATTATAGTGCAGTAAGACGTTACCTAGATGCGGAATGTCGTGATACACTTCTCAACAATTGAAGTAGATATTATAAAAATGTGTATTTTATTTTTTGTTCATACAGATGAACCAAAAGAAAGAAATTCTTTAAGAAAACTAAATAGAAAATAAACAAAAATTGTAAAATTAACAACCTAAAATTTTTATTCCTGCTCAATTTCTAATATTCCGAAAAGAAAAATTAATAGTGTGTGGGTCCACTTCTGTGTCGCCTTAGTGCTCTAACTCTATTTGGAAGACCTCTTATTAAATTATTGATGAACTTTTGCGGTATACGTTTCCAAATCGCGCGTAATGTATTGGCCAATTGATCTAAGGTTTGGGGCGGTTGAAGGAGCATGTTTTGTTGCTTAAACATTTCGGCCCAAACATGTTCAATGCAATTCATATCAGGTGAACATGGTGGCCACTCCATTCTTGCAATGCCATGAGCTTCTATACACTCGTTGACAATTCTCGCAGGGTGAGGGTGAGCATTATCATGTGAGCATTATCATCAATCAGAACAAATGGTTCGCCTATTGCACCAAAAAATGGAACAACTATTGGTACTATGACTCTGTCTCGATATGGTGTAGCAGTTATTGTCTCATTAATTAAGACGACTAAGTCCGTGCGACCGTCAAAATCGCGATCCACCTCCAAAAAGAGTGGTTGGGAAGATTTTCATTGTAACGTTGTCCTCTTTCCCTCCACACCAATATTCGGCCATCATTCGTATACAAACGAAATCTGGACTCGTCACTAAAGAAACAAATCCTCAAATTTTCGAAATTCCACTGATAGTGTTCCATCGCCCAGCGATATCTGCATGCACGCTGCTCCCTAGTTGGTCGTGGATGGGTAGCGCGCCGTCTAGCCCTTAAATTGGATGCATGTAACCGTCTTCTGACATGACGTGTCTTTGGACACATTTAGCCTCATAGCAACCTCTTGTCGAGTTATGCCTTGTTGGATCCAACGAACTAATTGCTCGAGCTGCACTAGTTCTAAACGTCTTTGCGGCATAATGTTTTTGTGATAAATAGATTTCTTGACTTATTGACAACTGGTAAAGCCAATACAAGCACTTTTATACGAATGATATATACATGTTTGGAACAACATTTCTCTCTTTGTACGAGATAAGAGCCGATAAGAATAGGGATAAAAAAACCACATACAAAAATATTGGCAATACAGATAGTATATAGAGTATAGTACAGGCAATTATTTTAAAAATAGTTTTATATGTTAATTTTAGGAATTTTAAAATTATCCACTTCAATTGTTGAGTAGAACAATTATGTTGAACTTGTTTTAGGTACTTAAGACAACTTGTTTTTTTTTTCAGGTTTCTTCTTATCCCATATTTTATCTAGAAGTATAGTTTTATTTTTTTTATTGTCCTTTTAACTTGTTTTAGGTACTTAAAAATATGTTAAAGAGTATGCGTTCATCGGAGCAATCACAGTCACTCCATTCAGCACATCGTCTCATCATAGAATTAATCAACAGACTTTCTGGTTATAACGAACAATGCCTAGAACTATCTCATGCTGTATATTTATTAAAAACTATGGAAGCTCTTTACGCTATCACGACACCTAGTCCTGATATTCAGAAGAAAATATCGGCCGTCGCTGAAAAACTCCTTTCAAGACGTTGGTATAATTCTAAAGGTATACCAGAAAGCGGAAGAAATTGTTATCTGAATATAGACGTTTTGGTTAAAACTTATCTATCTAGTGCTGATGTAGAAACGCTCACAGGATTGATTGGAACTTTGCAAGAACAAATTGAACATCTGGTTTCCAAAGAAGACTCGTTACAGATGCTAAATAGCATTGATAAGCAGAATTTCCATGTGCTTTATAACGGATTGTGCAGCGCGTTAGTTAACAGGTAAGTCTAGGTAAAAGTAATATTGTAAATAAGTTTTGCTATTTGCTATCACACTAGACAATTTTCACATTAGAAAAAACCATCTTGCTGTACCTTGCATGCTGCAAGGACATGCCGTGACAAGTCATACTTGTCACGGCATGTACTTGCACAAGATTCATTGTATGGCATATGAGTATATTTTATTTTACGAAAAAATAATTAAAATTTATCCAAAACGAATACAATTTTTCCAAAACGTTTTTGGTTCAGTCGGACCAGCATCAGTGAAACATTTTAAAACGTAGCTACTGAAATAGGTTTAAGAATCTTTAAATTAAATGAAAACAATGGTTATATTTATTAAAGTAATGTCAAATGTCATTACTTTAATTGGAAGAATTGTAATCCTTTTGGAGAATTACTTCACGTAAGTTATTTGATAAAATGACCTATTGTGTATTTATATTCTCCTTTTATTGACCATGGGGTTTTAAAATAAGAAAATATTAACTTATAATTATAAAATGGAAATAAACTTGGTGAAACATATATAAAGATATCAGAATAGGCAAATCCTAGAAATTAAGGGCCGGATTTTTAGTACTGGGTAAACCTATTTAATTTTCTGTCACTGAAATATGTAGCTACATCAGTTTTTCAGTACTAGATTATTAAACCCATTTAATGTGACTAAGATTTTAACCGATAGTCGTTAGAAGGGTTAACTCCGAATTTTGTTTTTACGCTTGCTCATAGGTACAGTAAAAGATTTCGGTACAGTGAATCTATTATTCAGTGTTACCTGAAAGGAAAGAGGTTAGATTATTTTGTTTTTATCGTGTGAATTATGCTACCTCGCTAAATACATTATAACTATAATAGACATCCTTACACTATTATGTTAATATTAAATTTTTTCATTATTAAATAAGTTGATTTTTTAATTATGTGTAGGTATTTTACGTTCAGTATGAACGGAAGTGAATTCACTGAAAGTAAAGTTACTGTAGTGGTAGGATTGGTGAATGATCACAGAAAAATAGTAGATTGCAAAGTAACAGGAGTGATAAACAATAAGCAAAAGTCTTATTAATGGGAAGAGATTGCCAATAAATTTAACTCAAAATCTGCTGATGGCATACCACTCTCAGCAAAAATTCTGAAAAAGTGGACAAATTTATAAAAACTGTATGTATGTATGTAACCATGCAAAGGATAAACAATACTGTACAGCTGCAGATGGTGGTCCGTCAAAGCCAAATAAAGAAACATAGGTTGACTGCATCATAAATGATATATTGAGCGAAAGAAGAACAGGAATGCCATCAAAGTCCAGAGTGTGATTCAGATTGTATTCATACTTAAGTGTTATATGATATTCAAAATTTAGTCATTTGCACATACCCAAGCACGATTACAATTAAACAAAAGAAAAAAGAAACACACAGAATAATCAGGATTTGCAGTTCCGTAGGAAAAAAATACACCTCCTTATCTTTTCAGCCAGAACATGGCTGTTGCCTACAAAACCGCGGTCGAGTAAATCAACTTTAATTTTTTGAAAAGACATAACCCGATCAACATCTTTGGCGGTTATACACTTTTTTTAAACTAAATTCTTAAATAATCTTTTTTGATAACCATTTCCGGACTGGACATCGAAACGAATTTCTTAGTTAAAAATGTAATCTTCATTACAATCAATTGTTGTCTTAATTCTATATAAACAAAATATTTAAAAGAGGCAAATATTTGACTTGATGATTTTTTGCATCAAGGTGACGACGATATAGTGTAGAAATGTTTGTATTTTGAGAACGATTTCCGAAGTGGAAATTAAAATTTCAATAAACTTACTTTGTGGCTTATTCCCTTTATGCCACAAGAAAATAGCTTTAAAACAATATTTAGAAATGTAGTTTACATCTTATTAGTTGTGTAATTATATAATTTTTACAAGAAAGGGGCTTTTGCAATTCCATTGTGTATATATTTCATTCATTTTAGAACAAAAACGGAAATAGAACACCTCAGTAACAATCAACACATAATAGTATGGACCAATGTAACACTCGCGTTGCTAGGACTGAAGAATATTGCCCAAAAGCAGGAAACGAGAACTAACTTGGGTTGCTACTTGAAAAAATCTATAGCAGTTTTAAAAATATTCCTTTCACATGGGATACCAATGATGGAAATTATGCTGAAATCGAAACCAGACGAAGTTGTTACTATTTTTAAAACGATGCAGAGCAGCACCAGGTTTTTACATCACTTATGTTGCTACAGCAAGTTTACTAAGGATGCTAGTTTAATGGCATATGTTCCGCAATTTAGATTGACATTAGAATCGCTTGTCTACAGGTAATTACTTCACTTTATGGTTAATTTTTTTTTATATGTAATTTTTTATATAAATGCAATATTTAAAAAAGTCCCTGACCAGCATATATTGTTAAAAAAGTAAAAAAATAAAAATAATTTTGATTCGAAAAAATGCGATCTAGTCTATTTCGAAATGTCATTTCCCTTGGACGGAAAGCAAACATATATATTTGCTTTATCTATGATCAATCACTTTGGTCTTCTTGGTATGAAAGTGAAGACCATTTCTGCTACCCATTATATTTGGTTTTAATGAATATTTCTCTTTATTAAATTAAAAAATAATTCAGTTATTCAACTACATAAATATTGTTTTAGGGTGAAAGCAGCATTGGTAGCAAACAACTGCTCCTCCGCTTTCTGGATGGGACATTTGAAAAATAAAGATTTACATGGAGAAGAAATTTTATCGCAAAGCACAGTAATGACAGATGATACCAACAAAGATAGTGATGAAGAACTGCTGCCCTCTGATGAAAGTGATACCGAAATTTTAAATGGAAACACTGAAGATGATAGATCTGTTGGTAGTGAAGTGTATGACTAATTATATGTTTATATAAATAATATGTTTTGTTAAATTTTGTAATATTTTCTATTTTAATATATGTAATTCATTTTCATTTTGATAAATAAAGAAGAAAGCATAATTTTTTATTGCTGCACTGCACATTAAAAAACCGAGTTATGAAGAAGTAGTTCAAATAATAAAGAAACTAAAAAGCAGTAAAGCTCGAAGAACGGACGAAGTTTCCGCAGAATTGTTGAGATATGGAAAACCCGAACTCTGGGGAAGAATCCATCTGACAATATATTGTCAGAATACTCTGAAAATATAATTGGTGATTATTAAAATGGATTCAGGCCAAATAGAGCCATTACAGACAACATATTCATACTTAGAACAATATAGGAGAAATCTTATGAATACGATATAGAACTATATAATATGTATATAGACTATATAACAAGCTTTTGATAGTTTGAAAATAGACAAAATGCTGGAAGACCTCCGAAATCTATACCAAAAAAATATATCAGCCTCATAAAAATGACGTTGTAAGTCACTCACAAAAGCCGCAGTTGTAGATGCAGAACTGTCTCCCCTGTATGACATTAACATGGGGGTGGGACCAAAAAATTGTATGTTTAAATTGTTGATTTAAATTGACTGGTCGGTGGTTAATCGTGGTGGTAAATACTTGATCGATAGGGTGAAGAAATAACTTGTAAAACGAAATCTCTTCACACGTTCTTTATTGGGTGCTCTTATGGCAACATATGGAAACATACTACTCTTATAAATTTGTAACTACTTTGCCTAGGGCTGACAGGGTTGCCGTCTAGACAATTAAATCTTAGGGCTAGGAATTATACATAATATAAAATATTTTGAAATAATTTTAAACAAACTCCCCCGTTGAAGGGTACCTTCAAAATAGATAATAAATATAAATAAAGTCTTATGTATCAATATTATCACTAACACTCTCTTGCTGCATTGGTAACGGACACAAATGACGAACAGGACAAATAACAGTCTTATTGTTTGTTTTTACCTCTGCCACTCTTGAAAGTTTATCTTTACCCGAATGCAAGCTAATAATACGTCCCAAAGGCTATCTACATGGTGGTAGTTGATAACTGCGAATTAACACTAAAGTTAAAATCTTCAAATGGGACGAAGATTCTGTCCATTTGTATTGCTGTTGCAGTTGCGAAACGTATTCTTTCACATAACGATTCCAAAATTGTTGATATATATGACGAATCGTTTTGTAGTTGGAGAGCCTGCCTATAGGGATTGTGCTTAAGTCCGTGTCGGGAATGGTTGTAATAGGACGGCCAATCAGGAAATGGGAAGGAGTAAGTGGTGTTAGGTCATTTGGGTCATTAGAGAGTGCAAACATAGGTCTAGAATTTAAGACTCCCTCGATCTGAATTAGCAAAGAATTGAAATCTTCATAGATAAGTTTTTTGTCAAGTAACATCTTCTTTAAATGGTGTTTCATGCTTTTATTTTTTTCTTCACACGCATGGCCAATACACAACTGCAAACATGAACGCCCAACCAGGAAACGGTTCTTATGAGAACCAAATGACTAGAACTCTTGGACACATTGTCCGGATTTGTCAGATAAATATTGAAGGCATTAGCCGATCCAAAAGCGAACTGCTATCAAACATACTACTTTCTAACGACATCGACTTGGTAGTTATACAGGAAATCCATGCTGCGAACGAACAACAACTCGCAAGTAGAGGCAAAATTCCAGGCTATGATCTTCTGGGAGCAACCTATCACCATGCTTATGGTACCGCCAACTACGTAAAAAACTCCGTAGAAAACGCCCACTTCGTATCTTCCACCACGCAAGATAATATACATTTGACCGTTACCAAAATAGGTGAAATCGAAGTGACAAATGTTTATAAACCCCCAAGTATTACATGGCCAAGCCACGTCATAGACATAAGGCCCCATCCAGCCATCTATTTAGGTGATTTTAACAGCCATCATCAAGAATGGAAATACAGAAACAACGATGAAAACGGGGAGACACTGTTAGACTGGGCAGAGAGTAACCACCTGCATCACGTCTTCGATGCCAAAGACCGGGGCACTTTTAAATCGGCGGCATGGAAACAAGAGTACAATCCAGATTTATGTTTTGTGAGCAAAAACCAGAAAAGCTACCCCTTACCAACCAAGAGAAGAGTACTTCATGACTTCCCGCATAGCCAGCACAGGCCGATCATTATTGAGATTGGTATCCAAATCCCACTAGTTACAACCATTCCACGACCACGCTGGAACTTTAACAAAGCTAACTGGCCCGCCTTTACCAATGAACTCGATAAAATCTTACGATGAATTCCACCAACATACAAAAATTATGAAAGGTTTAGAGGGGCAATAATTGCTACAGCAAAGAAACACATTCCCAGGGGTCATCGTAAGCAATACATACCAGGATGGAGTGAGAAAAGCCAAAACCTCTACGAAGAATATCTTGAAACCGGTGAAAGTGACATTGCGGACGAACTTCTCCTGAGCCTTGATGTAGCAAGAAGGAAGAAATGGACAAATAAAGTCGAATCGTTAGATTTCAAAAAGTCTAGCCGTAAAGCGTGGTCGCTCCTAAGAAAACTCGGAAGTGACAAACTAGCAACACGACAAATCCACGACTTCAACCCTAATAAAATTGCATCACATCTAGTTGCCACCTCCAGAGGAGCATGTGATAAAAAGTTTACCACTACTATAAAAAGGGACCTTAAACATCTAAAAGCTGCCTGTCCGTCAGATATAGAGTACTCCGCACCGTTCACTCCAGAAGAAGTCTCAAACGCCATCAAAGACATTAAACCTAACAAAGCTCCTGGTACAGACGGTATACCTCCCGAATTCCGGATCCATTGTGGGAAATCTGCAAAAACCTGGTTGTCTAAATTCTATACAGATATACTCAAAACAGGTAACCTACCAAACCTCTTTAAACAAACAAAAATCATAGCCATCCTGAAACCTGGAAAACCAACAGACAACCCAGCGGCCCCATCGCTTTACTCAGTGCAGCTTACAAGCTCCTCGAAAGACTGGTCCTGAACAGAATCGGCCCAAAGCTACTTCAAAAAATACCAATTGAACAAGCAGGATTCAGGCCTCAACGAAGCACCACTGACCAAGTGCTCTCTATAACTACCTACATAGAGGCAGGTTACCAAAGAAAACTGAAGACGTCTGTGGCATTCATCGATTTATCGGCTGCCTATGACACGGTTTGGAAAGATGGCCTCATCTATAAGCTCCTTAAAATAATCCCCTGCAAAGCAACCGCCCGACTCATAAATACTATGCTGAGTAGTAGAAACATCCGTGTAACCATGAGAAATACAGTGAGCAAACAGAGAACGCTTAATAATGGCCTCCCCCAGGGCTCCGTACTTGCACCGCTGCTATTTAGTATGTATATAGCTGATATGCCCCCTACCAGATCTAAAAAATTTGGATATGCAGACGACTGGGCACTTGAAAATTAAAGCTCCTTAATACAAAACTCCGAGGCAATCCTAACGGAAGATCTGGAACGCCTGGTTAAGTACTTTAAACAATGGAGACTTAAACCTAACCCCAAAAAAACCGAGGTTAGCTGTTTTCACCTGAACAACAAAATGGCCCACACAAAACTTAGAGTATACATTGATAACCAACTGCTCACGCACAACTATAATCCCAAGTACCTCGGCGTCACCCTGGACAGAACACTCTCCTTTAAGAAACATCTTGAGAACACCGCAGCAAAGCTGAGAACCCGTAACAACATCATACAGAAGCTTTGCGTGACTACATGGGGCTCGTCAGCAGGTACACTTCGGTGTTCAGCCCTTGGACTCGTATACTCCGCAGCTGAATACTGCTCTCCTGTTTGGCTGAATAGCGTTCACACAAAAATTATAGATACCCAGCTCAATGTCGCCATGCGTCTCATATCTGGAACGATCAAGTCTACACCTGTGGAGTGGCTTCCACTACTGAGCCATATACCTCCACCTAATCTTCGTCGTCAGCATGCTCTGCTTAGAGAATTCCAAAAGCTGCTTAACAATCCGCAATTACCTATACACACATAATGTCGCCGACGCTAATTCACATCGATTGCGCTCCAGAAAACCTCCGACTAGAGATGCAATAAACTTGAGTTCCAACAATTTCCAAATGAACTCCCAGTGGAAGAACATGCAGAGCGACAGACCGAACCTAATAATGAGAAACACACCATGCATCACAGAAACTCCACCAGGTTTTGACCTCCCCCGAAAATCATGGTCAACTCTTAACAGGATAAGAACGGGTCATGGAGTCTGCGCAGATTCCCTTTATAAATGGAGGATGAGAACCTCTGCTGAGTGCGACTGCGGCGCCGAGAAACAGACCATCCAGCATATGATTGCCCAATTGCCCTCGGAGGAAGTATTATGGAGATCCTCTAGACTTCGCCTCTGCAACACCAGCGTCGATTGAATATATTAATACATTAGATGTTAGATTGTAACATATATGTGATAATGTTGTGTATCAAATTGCCATACGCTAAATAAATAAATGGCAACATATGGAAACATACTACTCTTATAAATTTGTAACGACTTTGCCTAGGGCTGACAGGGTTGCCGTCTAGACAATTAAATCTTAGGGCTAGGAATTATACATAGAATAAAATATTTTGAAATAATTTTAAACACTGTTCAACCTAGTTCTTGAAGCAGTCATCAGAAAAACCAATGTAACCGGCCATATAAACACCAAAACAGTACAAATTACTGCATATGCAGACGATGTCGCCATTATTAGTAGAAACAAGACACAGCTTATGAAATCGACCAAGGAAATTGATTCTGGAGCACAAAAAAGAGAACTTAAAATAAACGAAACAAAAACTAAGTACATGACTATCAAAAGAACACCTGAGAATGAAAAAAAAAGCAATAGACAGCTATACTATTGAACGTGTTGATGCCTACACATATCTGGGCACAGAAATCAATCAGAAGAATTCCACAAGTAGCTAAATTAATACACGTATTTCCAGTGGAAATCGTACATACTATGCTAATAAAAGATTGAT